TATCATTATGATCAATTGTGAACAGAAATTGATCACTGGGACTAGTGAGATGGCATTGGTACATGCCACCTTGATGGGATTGAATTGGAATCCCCTGGTATGTTTCTAACTCTACCGTTTGAGGTAAGTCAGCTTGAGCATGTCCCTAATTGCACATCTCTTCCCTCTCTTATTCCCACTCTTATATTTAACAGTGATCACTTTTCAGTTAAGTTTCGGCACTTAAGAAGAATTGTGTATTGATTACAGTATTCAACCAAAAGTATTAAGTAGAACAAACAAAAAAAAATACTAAGAGGGATAGCATATTAAGAACAAAGTGGAAATATTAAGAAATAGGTAGAAACAGTAAAAATAACCAATTGAAATTCCGTATTTGAAGAATACAATAACTGAGTTGAAAAGTCACTGGAGTAGCTCAACAGCAGAGCAAAGAATTAGGCACCTCAATACAGATCATTTTAAATTATTAAGTCAGATGAACAAATTAGAAAAAGAATGAAGAACACTTAAAAGTGTTATGGGACACTATCAAACAAATTGATTTATGTATTATGGAAATCTCAGGAGAAAAGGAATTAAAGCTTATTTGAAGAAATTACAACTAAAAACTTCCCAAATCTGAGGAGGAAAATGGATATCCAAATTTAGTAAGTTCAAATGACTAAAAGTGTCACAAACTAAAGATGCCAAAATGCATGCATTATAATCAAACCATCAAAAGACAAAGTGAAAATCTTGAAAGGAGCAAAATAAAAGCAAACTGCCACAAGGAAGGTACAAAACAATGGACAAAACGGCCAAGGTCAGTCTTTCTCTATCAGTAATTACTCAGAATGTAAACGGATAAACTGCACAATCAAAAGGAATAGAGTGACTGAATAGCTTTTGAAAAAAAAACAAGAGTCTTACTTTAGACTTGAAAACACACAAAAACTGAAAGCAAATGGATAGGAATAAAGATACTATATGCAAACTTAACCAAAAGAAAGCAAAGGTGATCATATTTATCTAACAAAAATGAGACGTTAAGTCAAAATTATCATATAACAATGCTATGCAATGATAAACATCAATTAACCTAGATGATGTGACAATTATATACATACATGTTCTCCACATTCTATTCTAAACACAAGTAATCAAGGTTCTCCTTTGAAAACACAAGTCAGAACATGTCTCTTAGTCCAGTGCTCCAAAGGCCCAAAGTATAAAATCTTGTTCTCCGTGATGTTCCCAAGCCTATAGTCCATCTTCTTGCATCCCTGCACTCACTCTTTTACTTTAGTTTTCATTCTCTCCCTTTCATTCCACTACAGCCATATAGATTTCCTGATGCATTTCCTACCAGCATTTGCTGGTGTCAAAATCATTTTTTACAATTGTGCACTCTCCCAGCTAGAGAAAGCATAAGAAAATAAATAATTCTGGGTAACATACACTACAAAGTTAGCCCAAATACTGAGGTTATTGTAATAACAGCTGTCTCTGCTCTTCTCCCTGACAGACCTATGACACATCCTCTCATCTCATTTTTTTTTAAGATTTATTTATCTATTTAAAAGTCAGAGTTACAGTGGGGCGGGGGGAGAAGCTGAAACAGAGAGAGATCTTCCATCTGCTAGTTCACTACCCAAATGGTCGCAATGGCCAGAGCTGGGCCAATCTGAAACCAGAAGCCAGGAACTTCCCTTGAGTCTCCCATGTGGGTGCAGGGGACCAAGGACTTGGGCCATCCTTCACTTCAAATTTATGTATGGGCTATTTATCTTAATATGTAATATTTTTACAGTGATATGTTTTAAACAATACATCTCCATACCTAATAGTTGGATGCAACTATCAGAAGATGAGTAATATTCCAGGTATAATATATAATTGTATCTGTGATCCCTAACAAGGCACTTTAACCTCTATCAGCCTCAATTTCTTGAAAAGTAAAAACTACAATTTTTTTCCCAGATAGAGCATGAGCAAAGAAATGATTCTGTGAAATAAGCATTACAAAGTTAGCTCAAATATTAGCATATCCTGACCTAGGAAGAGGGTTTACCATACAATGCATTTAGGGCCACACATCTATTAAGTTTTGTGAAAATCCTAAGGCAGTCTTTGGTCACTTTGTTACCTTCAGCTTTTCCGAACTCCTAAAAAAAAAAACAACAAAATATATTCTTTCTCAGATATCTCAACAGCATTTTATTCTGAAAATATAATCTTTCTAATCAACCAGAATACAATTGGACATTTAGAGCATATAAATTTGACAGTCAAAATTTCAAACTAATTTCTGTATTTCATTCAGTTGTAACATGTACATATATAGTAACATGTCTTGTTTTCAAACATCTTCCCCAGCTCGAGAGTCAGAGTTCCTGAGGCTGAAATTTTCACATTCTTATTGATAAATGGTATTCCTATATTCTGATCTTTGTATCTCAATAAAACTGTTATTGTCAAAATACCAAAAATATCTCTGAAGTTTAATTGATGAGAAACAATTTCTTTTTTAAAAAATATTTTATTTATTTATTTGAGAGGTAGAGTTACAGACAGTGAGAAGGAGACAGAGAGAAAGGTCTTCCTTCTGTTGTTTCACTCCTCAAATGGCCAACGGCTGGAGCTGCACCAATCTGAAGCTAGGAATTAGGTATTTCTTCCCAATTTCCCATGCATGTGCAGGGGCCCAAGAAGTTGGGCCATCCTCCACTGATTTCTCAAGACATAGCAGAGAGCTGGATTGGAAGAGGAGCAGCCAGGACTAGAACCAGCACCTACACAGGATGCTGGCACCAAAGGCAGAGGATTAACCTACTGCACCATGGTGCCAACCCTGAGAAACAATTTCTTGAGTTGATTATCAAAGTAGATTCAACACCACAAGCAGGAATCAACCCTTTAAAGCAAAGAAAAAGATAGACAAATAGATACATAGATATGTAATCATAGATCAGTGTATTGTGTTTGCAATCGTGTAGTTAACACTATAATTACATGGAAGTATCTTACTAAATGAGAGTATTATCAACTATTTATATCAAAGTGCTGCTTGAGGAAATGTAAACAAAATTTGATTTAGTCAATGATTGTTTACTCAACTAATGGAAAAACAGAAAAATAAAACAGTATGAGAAAAAAGAATCAGATTTAATATGCTCATTTAAATGCCACAATAGGAACATTAAGTTCTAAGAGGTACATTAATGGCCTCAACACTCAAGTTAAAAGGCACAGACTGGCTGAATGGATTAAGGAACAAAACCCATCTATTTGATGCTTACAAGAAACACATCTTTCCAACAATGATCCATACGGACTGAAAGTGAAAGGCTGGAAAAAGATATTCCATGTCAACAGAAACGAAAAAAGAGTGGGTGTAGCCATCTTAATATCAGACAAAATAAACTTTAACACAA